GGCCCGCGGGTTGGACAGAGTCTCGGTTCCCACGGCGGCTCGGGCTCGCGGTCCGGGCAGGTGTTCGGCGCTCAGCAGCCGCCATGGCAGCGGACCGCTCAGATGTGGTTTGCCGCTCATGACCTCTGTAAGAACGACCGATGCCGCAACACGGGGCGGAGTCGCTCAGCTGTGACTAATTTCCAACCCTAGAAAACTGACAGCCCTATAGAAAACCGCAGTCAAAACCGATCTTTAAAAATCTATTAGCGTTCCGTGGCGGCGCCGGCGGCCGCGCCGTGCGATCGATCAACGCGCCAGGCCGCCTCTGAAGCCGGCCAGCTCAAATTGAAACGGATTCCCGGCCAGATTTTTTAGCCGGCCGGAATTTATCCGCCTTTTTATCCGAGCACACACACGGCCGACACATCCGCATGAAAAAACGGCGTCGCCCATCTATTATAAGAGTCGGCGGCGTGCCACGGCTGCGCGAGAGGCTGCGCCGGCCGGCCGGAGGACGTGACCGGGGTGCGCGAGCGGGCCGGTTTTTAAAAGTACCGTACGCCGGGCGGCCGAGGGCGTCTGCGGTCGGCATTCCTGGCCATGGCGGCGGACTGCAGCGCGGCGCAGCTAGCCCGAGGACGATGAACCACCCCGGCACCAACCGACAGCGAGCTGTCTCGCTACATTTAAACCGCCCCGATACGGCGGCACCGTTACCGTGCACAGCAGCGATAGCATCGGCGTCTCCCGGCCGGAGATCTCCACAACGGGAGAGTCGAGCGTGGAGACTGGAGAGCGACCAAAGGAGAGCTCGGCGGCCAAACATGGATAGCCCTTGTCGAGTTTAAATGGCATGTTCAAAACACCAACTCAACTACAAGTCAAACCGATGATTTTTGAGCGATCAAATATCAATCAGCGTTCATGAATGCACTATCTAGCAACATGGTGTGACTAGCATTTTTAGCGCACCAGCCACCCATTTCTTTCGTGTTGTCCGACAAATAATGGGCTCAGAAATCATGGTTGAATGATGACTGCGGTCGAATGTCTCGAGTCTGAACTGGTTGGCGCGGCGGGCCGACACGGGTGACCCTGAACTACAGCCGAACCGGGGACGCCTGTCCCACGAGACGCCTTTATTGGTAATTTGTCCGTTTTCACCCGGCCATTTGGCCGTCAGCTCTGGGTCCTTTGGCTGCCGAATATGGCCGGTCCAGTGTCATTAGTGGGGTATCGGCCAACGGGTCCGAGTACGGGGTGCCGGCCCGGTGGCACCCGCCATTACACAAAACTCAGCCGCAGTGCCGAGCGCCGAGACAAAAGGGGCAGACGTAACAACGCAACGCCTGAATAAAAACTATGCTAATGCCTGCTTGTGGATGATAGGTGGTCGGCTGACAAAAACCGTAATAAGAGAAAATTGGTGTAGATAGGGAGTGATCGGTGGTTAAAATAGGGGTCAGCGGTCCCGACCGGCCGGTGCAGCTCACCGCTCTCCCTCTCCCTCTCCCTCTCTGTCTCGCTGTGTCGTTCTCTGAGAGGGGTACCTGCGTGAGGCGATAACCACCGGTCGAGTGTGCCTGGGGCGCGGCCGCAGGGCCGCTTGTCCAGCAGACAGATGCATCTCACAGAAGTCGCAACGCCGAGCGAAAGGAGGATGTGGCGTAACGAGAAAATCGTCAAACCTTTCTCGGCTCGTCGCTCCACCATTGTGCCTACTTTGATTCGTGATTATCAGTGCTTTTTCATCTTTCAGGACGTTCATTTTAAAAGGTCGCCTTTCCGTTCACAAACATGCTATTCAAGCCACAAAATTGCTTAATTCTGCAAGGCCGGCCTACCTCAGTGTGGGTACGGGTACAGCGAGTGTGCATTATTGCCCCCTTGAGGTAGCGGTCCCTTTGAGCACTGAAAACAATTTAACCCAAGGCCGGCGAGTAAACCGGTGTTTCGCGGGTACCCCTATCCGCAACCATTTTTAACCACACTCCCAGGAGTACAGTAAGGTCCCATTGCAGTGTATAGTCGTCCCTGCTCTCAGCGGACCCGGACATGTTCGCTGACAGCGGTTATATCCGCTCAGAGCAAGTACGACTACACCGCAATGGGACCTAGCACTACTCCTGGGAGGGTGGTTAAAAATGGTTGCGGATAGGGGTACCCGTGAAACACTGGTTTACTCGCCGGCCTTGGGTTGAATTGTTTTCAGTGAGGCAACAATCGACAATAGAGTCCCGGCCCGACACCGGTGACTAAATCGACGCCAAGTCACATCGCTTATCTGCACCGTAATAAATAACGCCAGTTACATTGCTCATCGATTGTGCAATTTGCTAATTGCTGAATGCTGCATATTGCAATGGGCAGATAATTATAAATTCCTACAGAATCGTCCGTTCTTTCGGAGTGAAACAGATAAATGAGATTCGAATAGGTAAATGATGCGGCGATAACTAAGACTTGGAAACCAGTAAAAAGACACGCACATTTTTAGGGATAAATCCCAAACAGAGAGTAGAGACAGGACAGTGTCGCACACCGCTGTCGTGCGCATTTATTAAGAACAAAGCTGAATTTTATTAGAGAAGTAGCCGCGGTGAACACCTTGGCCCTTGGGGAACGGCCACTTTATATTCGGGATGGGTTTTCATCGCCTACATCCCATTGCGGGAAGGTGCCACTTGAATGTAGGTAAATCGTATCGGAGAGTTGCGAGAGCACCATTGGAATTTACCCAACTAATTACCAACCTTTAGGCTTGAATCTGGATTCTGGAAGGGCTATAAACGGTGCATCTGATGCTACTGATGGATCACTGTCTGCTCAGCTGATGTGATGTTCGTGATTATGGATTGTTGAATGCTGGAGAATAGAAGCTGAAGAGATGGGATAAGTTTCCAATGCAGTGAAGTGAATGCACACACCTGCATCCAGCGACCAGCCTGCATCAAACAAGTGGGGTGAAGTCGCCCTCCTCAACGACAGTTCGGCGCTCCCTCAATAGATGGCAGCACCATGTTCAAATGGCTCGAGGTCCACTGCTCACGACGACCCACCGGTGTCGACCAATCAGCGAGCGGGGGAGAATTGGCGGGAACGTGACGTCAGCAGCAGAAGGTTGACGCATTGTGCCGCGCCTGGCGGATGGAGCGCGCGCTGTGGCGGGCGGCGGGGTGTGTGTGGGTGAGCGCGCCGATGACCCCTCGCTGCGCCTCGGGTAATTCCGAGGACCGCGAGGTACCGTTAGGCGGTGCGTGCGCAGCCAGCCGTGCCTAAACTGGCCGCGGCACGGGAAGATGAGGGGCACTGGCGCAATATTAGATACCATTTGCTTTGGAGCCCGCGCCGCTGCAGGGCCATTTAAATGGCACCTGCCGCGGAAACGGTTACATAAATTAGTGTTTTGGTCAATCGTGCACCAGTTACGTTTCAGGTAATTAGGTAACTAATTGACGCAGGCGCGGATACAAGGGGGGGCCATGGCCCCCCCCCCCCCCTTGGCCGATTTTTTTTCAAAAATAAAATAAAAAGTTAAAAAGTTAAAAAGCTGAAAAGGGGGCCTCCTGAAAATAAAGTGGCCGAAATCCGATGAGTTTTTTTTAACCTACCCACTTAGTTATTTCTTAGAAGACTAGCTGAGAAGACTTCTTTGTTAGAAGATTGGTAAAGCTTTTCATAACTTGGAGGTCTCTTATACTCACAGAGATGACCACTTTTACAGGGCCTCCTAACCCGCACAGAGGGCCTCCAAGCCTGCACAGATGTTGAGATGTTGCCTGAACAGCTAGATAAGCTCAATAGACGCAGTTTTTTTTGGGGGGGGGCCAACAAGTGGGAAGATGGGGCCTCCAACAGGTGGGATTATGGGGGGGGGCCTCCTGGTTTCTAATGGCCCCTCCCTTGGAGATTTTCTGGATCCGCCCCTGAATTGACGTAGGTACCTAATTGGTGTGGAAATGGTCTTGTAAGACCACTACTCCAAAATGAGGTGTCGCTGCTCACTTGCGATCATGCTTATCAGATTGCAATTTGTAGATCTTGATGGGTTGAAAGCGTCTCTGGTTCCTTAGTTAGGCATGTGGTTACTGGTTTGTTATGGGCATGTCGTTACTTATACGTAACGTACCAAAGTAGGCTTTCTCCGCCAATTATGTTCCACAGTTGTAATCGTTTCATCCTGTTGCAGCTCATTGCTAATGAAATGCTTTGAACTAATAGGTTGCAGACTCAAGACTGCAGTGAGTTGTCGACCGTATTAGTCCTTTATCTGAAACTAGCCAGGATGCTCCTTTCATTACGCCGAAATTCGTCTTCAGCATGGTCCAAAGAAGTTCGTTACGAGTTCCGAATAAGTCCGAAGAATGTCTGCATGGAGTGCAGACCAAGATAAGTGCAGACTTTTGGCAATGATACGGATAATTGTTCGCAAATAATTGTCTTGCCAATCTTTCTGAGCTGACCTGACCCACCGGACCACCGACTTGACGGCTGCTTCTGATCGGAGCAGTTGGTGTCGGCCGTCGGGCGCCCAAGCCTATAGCTCGTGCGCCGCGCCTCCCCAACACAACTACTGCGCAGCGTAGACCGGTCCCTCGCCTCCTCCCTACCCCCCCCCCCCCCCAACCGGACCGGGCCCCACTATACGATATATGCAACATGTCGCTACTACAAGGTCTGCGCCTGCCGCGTGCCGTCGGGCAGGACCGGATCGGACGACCGCGTCCACTGTCTAAACGTCCCGCCACATTGCACGGCTGGACCGTCTTCGGCTCGTTGATCACTGCTAGAAATAAACTAATCACAGCGCACTTAGTCAATGCAGCATCAAGTATCAATATCAGTGTAAATGTTAGTGCAATGTGATGGACTCCTTAACGTACCCTGCTTAGAAGCTTAATTCTAAACAGGGAAACAAACAATTGGGAAGTGTTATCCAGAAACCATGCTGAAATGTAAATATTTAACATACGCACATATTTTTCTATCAACGAGACTAGAAGGTAAAATACCTGTGGCGAGTTAGTTCTTACTTCCTTTTATTAGAGGTCTTTGTTCTTATTTTATCACGCCTTATTTGATTCATGTTTATTTTCTTGTCATTGTTGCTGCGCGCGTGAAAAACAATATTTCTTTTTAGCTCAGAAAATCGAGTCAACGTCGATGTTTGAAATTGTTTTTAGTTCAGTGTGCGGCCTACTTTCAAACTGCCATGTTCTTTATTTTCATCTCTCAATATAATTTTATCATATTTTATCTATTTGTCTCGGCCGCCACATTGGTGACCCCGACGTGATCTGAATTTAACTTTTAAACAGTAAATTATTGCTCTTCAAGATTGTATATATACCTGCACATTCAAAGAAGACTTTAAAAGAAGAACGAGGAAGAAACAGATCAAGTAATCGAAAACGAAAACGAGATGCATCTGCCATCTACTACGTTACTCACACAAGAAAGACAACCGACCAGACGATCACCTGAAGAATCGCCGGTGGTTTCGGGCCGCGCCGCACCCATGCCGCGCCGCCTCCCTCCGCACCGACTGATACCAGCGCACCGACCTCAAGCTCGCTTCTCCCAAGAGCGGCTCCGCTGACTTGTGGCCTAACCAAGGTGGATCCAGGCCGCGCTGAGCCACGCCGCCTGCTCCACCGCGGTGCTTCTTATCTTCGTACCTACCTACCTACATACCCAAGCGTTCGTCAACGACATGAACCTATACGTCGCCGCGAACGCAGAACGCAAGTCAGCGAGTCGCAAGCCGCCGTCGCCGGAGTTTCCGGGATGCGCCGTTTCATCGCCGCTCCCGTCCGACGCGGCACGCGCTGTGTCGCCAGTCACCAAGAGCCGGTCTACGCCTATTCTGTCTGAGAACTTGTGATCGATTTTTTTAGCAAGATAATTTACTATACCTACTTACTAGCTCCGCTCTAGGGCGGGGAGTGTTGTGGCGAGTTAGTTCTTACTTCCTTTTATTAGAGGTCTCAGTGGCGGCGGAAGCAGGGGGGCAAGGGGGGCAGCTGCACCCTAAAGCTATGGAAAGGGGCGCCTCGAAAATCTGTAGAGGAGGCAGGAAGTTAAGAGGTGCGGCAGCCATAAAGCTGAGCAGTGCGAGGCGACACCGCAACTGATAAAGGCACTTGTGACACGAAGAGGGTGGCAATGACGTGGGAAAAGTATCTTTTGATATGCTGAAGAGTGGAGGGCATCCTTATCTGAAACAAAGGCAGATGCTGCCGACCCTGTCGAATATAATCTTGCCAGGCGATAAAGGCTAGGAGGGCGCAGCTACTCGAGAAGCGCACCATGCGGAAGAGGGGCGCCTGCATGCGAAAGAGGGGCGCCTGTGTGTGGGACGAAAAAGAAACATTTATGGAGACGTCTTTGAAGGCGATAGCCTCCGAACGCCAACACGAACATATGAGGGCTTATAGCGTTGCAGGCTCCATGCGACAAAAAGGGGCGCCTGATGGCCGATATGCGAGAGGAAATTAGTTTGTGTAACATTTATCGGGGGCGGTTTGCCGTTTACAACATATGAATGTTAAAGGGACACTCCCACCTTAACATTAGTTTTGAGTTGAGATAGCCAAATTGGTGGCCATGGCCTGCAAATACCGGTTTGGGCACTCACAACATCGAAAAATGCTTTAATTCGAAGATATGGAATTTCAAACTTGCAGTTTTCGGATTCTAAGGGGCTAATGCATTGGAATGCCCCCTTAGAATTTGTGACGTCAGCGGAGATCTAACGATTTTTAAATCTTAGACTAAAACCATCGTTAACACGTGGTGGTATACGCTGCTTTGCGCGCAACGTCTGCCGCACTTTAAGGCTGCCAAATTATTGCTTCCAAATAAAGTCGCTAGTAACAGGGGAGATCCCAAAAAGTAAACAAAAGTAAAAGCCTAATATCTTGAAAACCAGTGAATATTTTTCGGTGAAATTTGGTAGATATTCGTTTTCGCTCTTTCTGAACCAAGGGACATCACTTTCATGCCAATTCATTAACTTTTTTGAAGGTGGGAGGGTCCCTTTAACCCTCGCACGACCAGGCCATTTCTCATAACACGAACGACCAGGGGGGGGGGGGTTGTTACGACCCCCCCCTGGCGTTTCGAAACGGAAGGTCGTAGAGCTTAGCGGAAAAAACCAACGGATTGCTCTCAACGAGATCTCGCGATTGGTGGTATATTTTTTGGTCCTAGGACAACATTTGACCTACTTTTGACCGGTCAAAGGTCAAATTTTCGGAAAAATAGACTTTTTTCAACTTTCCGCGGCGATTGCGGCAAAACGGTGGGAGATATCGACTTGAAACCTTCACTATCGTGTTCCTTGATCAATTCTCTATCGTTTGGTATGTATTTCGTTTCCCTAGCTCTAAAAATGGCGCGTTGGGAGCGCCGGAAGTCGGCAAGGTCACAGTCGGCGGCAGAAATTCGAAAAATCAAAATTTAAATTTTTGAAATCTGATTGTATTTTTGGATTTGGAAGGTCCATTTGCTCCTTATAGAAGCTAATATTGCTGCATATTCCCATTGAGGTGACAAGAATTAGCAAAATAGTGGTTCGGGCGCCTTTCAAAAATAGTACCGGACGCTGTTCCTCTTATGACGTCATAACTCCGTGACCTGACCTGACCCGGTCAATTTTCTTGCATCACACGATAGCCAATGCTTGCCCCAACATGCATGGGAAGTTTCATCATGATCCATCAAACAATGTGGGTATCACCGGCAGAAAACCTAGGGATTCGGCGCACACGTTTGGTAACTGTCGGCCGGAGGCTGTACCTCTTATGACGTCATAACTCCGTGACCTGACATGACCCGATCAATTTTTTTTCGGCAAAAGATGCGCAAAGGTTGCCCCAGAGGGTATTGAAAATTTCAGCCCGCTACGACAAGCCGTTTAGCGTGCACTTCGAAAAAACCTCAGGGGGGGGGGTGATACAACCCCCCCTAGGCGTTCTAGGGTTAAGGGAGGTCCGAGATTGGGGCCTGTAAAATTGCACTGTCCGTATGGGCGGTTACACCCCTAGTGCTAGGGCGTATTTTGCGTTTTTTTTTTTACTGGGGAGATGATTATGACCAGGAATAGCACTCTGCAAACTTCTATGGGCGCCTGTATAGGGGCGAAACTGATTTTCCAGTGCAGGGACGGCCATCGGCATCGGACTCCATGGTCCTTGACACAATTCTATCCACTTGACCCCCTCGTACAGGAGATTCTTCTCCGTTTGACGGCTCTCGACCGAGAGGGTACCTCAGTGACTTTTTGCTGGATTCCTAGCCATGTTGGTATAGCTGGCAATGAGCGGGCGGACCGTGCTGCGAACCATGCGGCGCGGCAGCCCTGCTCCCGCCGGTTCCCTCTACCGGCCAGGGACTTTTTCCCTGCGGTGAGCTCATTCTTCCGCGGAAAGTGGCAGGAGGATTGGAGCAAATGTCAGACAAACAAGCTGCTACGCATCAAACCGGGTTTGGCAACCTGGTTGTCTGCGTCACGCAAGTCGCGTCGAGAGGAGGTTATCCTCTGTCGGCTTCGCACAGGACACACTTTCGGTACCCATGGACACCTTATTGGCGTCGGCCCAAGACCTGTTTGTGCGAGATGTGGTGACAGACTTTCCGTCCGACACGTTTTTCTGGAGTGTTCTAGACTGGAAGATGAGCGGCTGAAGTTCCTGGGCCTGCGCGGAGCCCAGCTTTCTTTGAGAGCAGTCTTAGGTGACGAGTCCTCTTTGCTAGACTCTTCTAGTCTCTTTTCGTTTATTGCGGCCTCCGGCCTTCAGGTGATTTTTAATGCCCGACATTGAGGAAGTCAAATAAGAAATGGGCGCGATATAGCCTCGCAGCTGGTGCGCCCTGTCACTCCAAATCATCATCATCGGCCATCGGCATGGTAAGGGGCGCCCAGCGGGAAGGGGCGCTTCAATATCGTTTGCACCCCTATCCTAGAATACCTTCCGCCGCCTCTGAGAGGTCTTTGTTCTTATTTTATCACGCCTTATTTGATTCATGTTTATTTTCTTGTCATTGTTGCTGCGCGCGTGAAAAACAATATTTCTTTTTAGCTCAGAAAACCGAGTCAACGTCGATGCTAGAAATTGTTTTAGTTCAGAGTGTGCGGCCTACTTTCAAACTGTCATGTTCTTTATTTTCGTCTCTCAATATAATTTTATCATATTTTTATCGATTCGTCTCGGCCGCCACATACCCTTTAGAGATTCTCTTCGTCTCCAAGCCCTCTTTCTCCCCTCCCCCCCCCCTATTCTTCCGTATTCAATACTGGTCCATCTCTTGTCGAGCCTACCCTATCTCCATACGTCGTGTAGCGTCGTCCATCCGTCCTCACCCGCCCCTTCCTCCCTACCCCCACTCGCCGCGTAGTACGCTGCCCCCCCCCCCTCCCACAACCACCCACCCCCGCTGCTGCTCGTATATGCGGTCCGGACGCGCGGCCCGGTCCCGGACCTGATAAGATAAACTCGGGCCGAAAAAGTCGCGCAAACACGGTGTGCTGCGTCCCGGCGGGGCTGGCGGAGGTCAGCGCGTGCTGACGTGGCCACGGTCGGCGCTGACCGGTCCCGCCACCACACCGGGGACGGCAGAGGTCAGCGCGTGCTGTTGACGTGGCGTGGCTCTGATCGGGCCGGATCAGCATTTGGCTAGGAGCGAACACTACTGATTTCATATGCGTACGTGCAGTAAATCTGCGATAGTTTCGAAACAGATGTTTTTCAATTCCTTTCCGTTGTTAATTAGGGCTTTAGGGAGAAAATATTGGTAGAAGACGGGATCAAAATTACAAACTTCCGTCATAAATCGGGTGTGAGGTCAGGAACTGCGCAAACTTCAGCCCTTCGAGAGTTGCATGACCAAAATACTTCATCATTCATCTAATATTTTGAACAACTTTTTCACAACATTCGTAAAAGGCGCTTTTTAAAACGTGCAACCGCTGGTCACTCTGTCGGTGATCGACACGAGGTAAATGCAGGCTAGTCCTCGTACTTACTACCCCATTGTCACACGGGGTCCTGCCAGTCCCATGTGACCACGTGTTGGCGCGTGGCGGCTCCCCGGTGACCCGTCGTGTCACGGCCGCACGGGGTCGGCGCTCGGTCCGCGTCAGCCTCCCCGGTCCCGCAGAACACGACCCGGGACCCTGCTGAATAACGACCCAAGAGAATGGAAGCCGCGCGGCCGTGAATACGAAAGAAGATATAATTGTCGCCGGCTGCTTTGAATACGCCAGCGACACTAATGGAGAGGGCGGGCATAAAAAGGTCGCCGTATTCCACGTGGGATTCGCCCGAGCGTCGACCTTTCCACCTCCAAACGTCTCCAGATGTGTGCGTAGGCTCCGTTTGATTCAGCGCCGCTTCCTTTCTACAGTTGTCGGCGTTTTGTTTACCTTTAATTCCGCTTTTATCACGGATCTTCTGCGGAGATCGCGCCCCTCGTTTCCATGGTTACCAAGGGGTCACCGCCTCTGTTAAAGGAAGACTGCCACCTTCAAAAAGTTTTCTCAGATCGGCCTATGATTTATTCCCTGGACAAAACAAAATTTTAGAATTCACCTGACAAAGTATCATCACGTGAATCGCGAAAAAAATTGTCGATTTTCGTACAATTATCAATCGGTTAATGTCTAACGACAATGTTTACACATCACTAGACTTCAAGGTCATAAGATTATTACATTTTATTTGAAAAAGTAAGGTATTTTATAATTTACTAATATATGATTTCATGAGAAATTGGCCATGTTTAATTTATTTTGCATTTAAGTTCGTAAAACATTAAAAAAATCATGGCTCATTTGGAATGGGTCTGGCCCATGTTAAACCCCATTTCCCACACTTTTTTGGAAAAAATGAACTACTGAATATATAAGTTTAACTTTTATTTTGACACTCCAAAATTCTTCTCTGATCTCGAAACAATCAAAGTTTTGGCATATGTTTACCAAAAGATAAGAAAATTCATGTTTCAAAGTTATCGATAAACAGTAGAGATGTCGGTTTTCTTGGACTAAAAAAATGGCATCAAACTGAACTTTGGTCTCCGATTTCTCGCAAACGGGTTCGAATTTCGGAAAACCGACTTCAGTCTGGGACATAGGTGGCTCAGCTCTAGTGAAAACCGTTTTGTGGAAAAAAGGTGGCAGTCTACCTTTAAAACGTCTCTGAAAAGCGGCATTCGATCGTTCGTCTTGCGCTCTCACGTGATCCGCCGATAGTGCTCGTAATGGTGCGTTTGCGCAAGTAGGGCTCTGAAATCTGAATCCATACATGAATGGCCTGTATGTCCAAAGACATGGGCGTGTTCCCACCTGGCGACAACCGCACCGTCTGTATAGGCACTTACAATGGGCCTGGGAACGCACACGCACACACGCACGTGCGGTTGGTTCACCATACGGGCTCTGTCGCAATGCCGGACCGCCTCGGCTGTCGCTTGAATCCGACGTCGGGGACATCAGTTTTGCTGTCCATGGGCCGGTAGTGGCACACTGCACAACACTCTACAACCGCACGAATAATCGCGACACTCAAGGGTAAGCCACAACCACCGAAACCACGTGCAAGACGGCCACCCCATACGCTTAGAAGAAAGAAAATAGGCTAATGAGCAGCTAACCGCACAATCATATGAGATCCTTTTTACCTCGACAGCCTCCCAAGCAGCTAACTACCGTGGTGGGCACGATGTTTTCATTTAAAAGAATTGTGTCGCGCTGTCGTCTGTGTGGGACCGCGGTGCTCAGTGACGCTATCTCTGTCTCAGATGTGCTCCACATTCCCGGACCGTGGCGCCGGTCCGCTGGAATCCAAACGAACGGGCCGACGGCCGAAAGGAGGCCACCGAGTCGCCGAGGCGCGCCCGTTTAAAATCCCGTCTATAGCCCATTTAAACCAATCAGCGGCTGGCGAAGCACCGATCGGGACGCTCCGGTTACCGAACGGGCGCCCCGCCGGGCGCGGCACGCCCCCTCCACCGGACCGGCCCGGCACCCGCAGCCCAACGAACGCCCGGTTCTGGGTCACACTCGGACGGGGTTCCACGTGGAGTGCTGTTTTGAAAACGATTTACCAAACGTGCGTTGACCTAACGTGAGTGAACTTCGATGTCCGATAACAGGCTGTGACAACACGACGACGCTTTGGAAACGAAAATGCAATCGATAAATGCTGAGATACAGCATTTTTATTGCTAAAAACTAAATTAAATTGCGACCGCCTAACTGGCCATTGACCTGGCCAGTGGCCACCGAAGCGTTGCTGGCAATACCTAGATTTTTTAGATTTTTGGACGCTACTATTTCAAAACGTCTGGTGTACCTGAGATCTGGCCTGAATCTGAGCTCGGCTGATGGACCGCCGATCATCCGATGGACCGTCCAATTCGGGTCTCGGCCGGTCGCGCTGAATACTAATGGTGCCCTCCGGCAGCGCGATCCATCCCACCATTGTCATGTTCGACTGACCGGCGATACAACGCTAGGGGAGCGACGCTCCCCAACGAAATAGCCAGCGTCTGGCGTCGGCACGGCCATAAGCGTATGTGGGCTCAGCTCGCTGAAACGGTCCATAGCTGTCGAGTACAAACAGTGAACACGTGTCCCTCGGCACGTAAATCCTGGCACCGGTTCGCCTGTCAGCGCGGCGGAGTGTCCGCCGGCTCCGAGCTGCAGCCGCACGGCACGGCCGCCGTTCCGGGAAGACGTGCGACGCGCGCGCGCCGTGCACGTGCATGTCGTGTCATCGGCGCCATTAATTGGTCGAGCCCACGGCCGACTGGTCCGATCGGGGAAAAACGCCGGCCGCAGCACCGTGTGCTGGTGAGGCCCGGTGGTGATTGGTGACGACCACGGCGGGTCCCTACCTCTAGCTGTTCCACATGTACCCCTCCTTCACGTCACAGACGGGTCGCGGGGATGTCATCACTTTCCAAATGGCAATACAGGTAAAAAGAATAATTATCATGCTACAGATGAAAAACGCTTTACAATGCATTGGAAGCTCAAGCGAATGTGATGTGACACTTCCCTGTTGCCAAGGAACTTCCAACACATCCCTATAAATAATGCAGACGTAGGAAGGGACTGTTTTTACCTTGTCGACCTAACGTTGACAGCTTATTTCCATTTTGCCCGCCGAGCTTAATGTTCTGCCCAGCCGTGAGACCGGCCACGCCATGCGTCGTTAATGTACCTGCGTCCTGTAAGTTGCAGAATCAATGTCCACTGGTGAAGCTGAGGTGCGATCCCGAAACATTCGACGCTTATACGTCCATGTAGGTTTTTGTGTGTATGTGTTCGTCGATGCGTGTGTAGTGCAGGAAATAGGTCAGTCGCGGAGTGGTTTACCTGTTAGCAAAAGTGGAACCACGCTAACAACCGGGAAGTGTTGCACGCAGAACGCCATCCATTGTTCCCGTTCCGTTACTCAGGGCTGGAGGTCCCAGCGTGAGCCATTGTTTGTGATCGTAAGGTGGTGGTGCATCGTATGACTCACTTTGAATCCGCGTGCACACGCAAAAAGCCAAGTGAATGGGCGTTTGGGACATAATATATGATTCCGGTAAAACAGCAATATTTCCAGAGTGAAAGTGTCCTTGAAATATGCTGTGCGACCGGGAACTAAAATGGACACTGGACATGACAGTTATGAATTATGGTATAAAACACGTTTCGATTTCCGGCGGAGGCAATGCAGCATGCCTGTCAGAATTGGCCGCTCACAACTGTTAACTGCTGGGAATATTTCAGAAATAATGCATTATTCTATTCGTTTAACTTTAATGAACTTGCCAGTTGCCTAATTGAAAAACCCGGTTTGGCCGTCGGATACTGATTTCGAAGGCAGTGTTATGCCACGAACGGTATTGCAGTCTCCAAGCTCAGGAATACTAGCTGCCGCATAAGCAGCGTAGCATTGGAAACCATGAACTGAGTCGATCCGGCAATAAGAAAGTATTCTAATACAAAAAAGTATGGGCTCTTGTTCATAATTTTACATTTCATGTGAACATGCTGTCCTCGTGATCCTGTATCGGTTTGCACTAGTGCCGTTATGGGCTGAGTCAGTAGTTCTTTTAGCGGGTCGCCGAGTGGTGACCCCACGAGCCGCCCTAATCGCCGTCGGGCTCAGCGCCGGTAGCCACAGCCTGTCCACCGCCCGGTGCCGC